GAGTGATGGTGTTTCAGCCTTTGAGCAATGTTGGGCTTTGCACCCAACTCCATTTTCCAGTTCAGTGTATTTGCTCATAACAGGACATTTCCAGGGCTTCTATTTAGAAGTGCTTTCCAAAAGCTCTTTAACTGCATAAATTATTCTTAAATGTAGCTGGAAAAAAAAACCTCCTGATATGTTTGCAGTTTATCCCATAAAGGGCTTCTACCCGTGTAAGCCAAATGTAGCCATGGTGATAAATGGAGCTACTGAGAAGATCTGAATTCAGTCTGGAACTAACTAAAGCTCCCTGGAAGATCTGTAGCTAATGGTAGTGGGAGAAAATAACATTTTTCTGGACTGTTTTGCAGAAGAAAGGGATTAAAATTAGTCAACATCTTGATATGCCTAGGCTTGAGGCATCTGTTGTTTTCATTTAATTTCTATTTAATTCTCAGATCAAGATAGAGGAACTTTGTAAACTTCCTCAATCCATGTATAGTCCATTAATAAGGTGAAAATAGCAACTAATAGAGGGCAGCCTTGTTCCTTTCTATCCATATTTCTGCTAGTCTATTTGTTAATTTAATATTGATTTCCACAAAATGCCAGTCTTCAAACATACACAAACAGTACAGTGTTGTGTAGCCTTTCCTTCTATAGACGATGTATTAATTTCTTGAAGGTCCTTCATGTTGCAATCTTATGCTTTCCAGTTTGGAACTAAGCTCCTAATAAATACAGAAAACCAGGTGCTGATCCCCACAGCTTGCTTGCCACTCTGCTGATCAATGAAGCAGCATAAACTTTGCCTGCTGGTTGGTGCCAGGCTTCTTTGGACTTTTCCTGTCAAAGGAGACATCAAGCAGCTTCACCTTTGACAGTTAACATTTAAATACTATTCTACTGATTATTTAATGAAGACAGCACTAGTTTTATATTGAAAGTATGATGCAAGAACCTATGAGACTCACCCATTTTAAAAAGAACTTGGATAGAAAAGGTAACACTTTTATCAATCCAAATTCTTTAATGTTTCATTCCTGTTTAAGATGCATAATACCATACAAATCTTAGCACTGAAAAATCCCAATTATCCCAATTCTTGCAAGCACTCCCAAAAGACAAATGTTTTGTTCCGATGGGTATAACTACCATTCAATTTGTATGAAAGTAACACTCGGGTTTATATTTCTTTCAGATTAGTCCAGCCTTAGGATTTTTAAACGGATCAGTTAAGCGGCTATAAAAATCAGACTCTGTGTAGCTTTATCTGCATTTTCAATTTGCTCTAGTGCAAATTGATGGTGGCTCATTCTGGACTGAAAGCAACAAATGCAAGACAACAAAAGGCTATTCCGTTATCATATTCACTTAGGATTTTTGTTTAGAAAAAGACACATGCAGCTGTATTTAAAAAAAAATTAAAAATAACTTGATATGAAGGACTTTCTTGTAAACAACGTTACTTGGAGAAAAAAATCAAGCTTTCTTCTCATACATAATAATAATAATAATAATAATAATAATAATAATAATAATAATAATAATAACAACAACAACAACAACAACAACAAACTGGCCTACAAGAAAGACCAAATGAAGAACAGAATAGAGGCATGGGAAGACAAAGCACTACATGGCCAATACGTGAAAAAAATAGCTGGGAAAGTAGATAATAACAAGACCTGGCAATGGCTAAGAGCAGGAAAATTGAAGAAAGAGACCGAGGGACTAATTCTGGCTGCACAAGATCAAGCCTTAAGGACAATGCATATAAAGTCAAAATTGAGACAGTAAGTGCCGCCTATGCAAAGAAGCTGAAGAAACAGTGGACCACTTGGTAAGCTGTTGCAAGAAGATTGCACAGACTGACTACAAGCAGCGTAATGACAAAGTAGCAACAATGGTGCATTGGAAGATCTGCAAAAAATATCATTTGCCTGTAAGCAAAAACAAAACAGAATTCAAACAGACAAGCACCTGCAACATAACACCCCAGACTTAACAATTGTCGATAAAAAAAGACAAAAAAGTCTGGATAGTGGATGTGGCAGTGCCTGGAGACAGCAGAATAGACAAGAAAGAACTGGGGAAGATAACAAAATACAAAGACCTACAAATAGAAATAGAAAGATGATAGCAAAAGCAAGCAAGGGTAGTACCAATAGTAATAGGCTCTTTGGGTGCAATCCCAAAACAACTGGAGCACCACTTGAACACCATTGGCATTGACAAATTTGCTATTAGTCAATTGCAAAAGGCGGCCTTACTAGGAACTGCTTCCATCCTGCGACGATATCTGTAATACCATCAAACATCCACATCTGCCTATCCCAGGTCCTGGGTAAGGACTCGATAGGTAGACAAAATGCCAAATCCAGTCTGAATACCTGGCTGACTGTGCAATGATCCATAATAATAATGATGATGATGATGATGATGATGATAAAGTTGGAAGGGACCTTGGAGGTCATCTAGCCAACCCCCTGCTCAAGCAGGAAACCCTATACCATTTTGGACAAATGGCTGTCCAGTCTCTTCTTAAAAACTTCCAGTGTTGGAGCATTCACCACTTCTAGAGGCAGGTTGTTCCACTGGTTAATTGTTCTAACTGTCAGGAAGTTTCTCCTTAGTTCTAGGTTGCTTCTCTCTTTGGTTAGTTTCCACCCGTTGCTTCTTGTCGTGCCTTCAGGTGCTTTGAAAAATAGCTTGACTCCCTCTTCTTTGTGGCAGCCCCTGAGATATTGGAACACAGCTATCATGTCCCCCCTCATCTTTCTTTTTGTTAAACTAGACATACCCAATTCCAGCAACCATTCCTTATATGTTTTATACTCCAGTCCCCTAATCATCTTTGTTGCTCTTCTCTGTATTCTTTCTAGAGTCTCAACATCTTTTTTACACCGTGGTGACCAAAACTGGATGCAGTATTCCAAGTGTGGCCTTACCAAGGCATTGTAAAGTGGTATTAATACTTCACGTGATCTTGATTCTATCCCTCTGTTAATGCAGCCTAGCACTGTGTTGGCCTTTTTGGCAGCTGCAGCACACTGCTGGCTCATATTTAAATGATTGTCCATTAGGACTCCGAGATCCCTTTCACAGTTACTACTATTGAGCAAGGTAACCCCTAGACTATACCTGTACATTTGGTTTTTCTTGCCTAAAAGTAGAACCTTACTTTTTTCACCATTGAATTTCATTTTGTTAGATAGCGCCCAGTGTTCAAGTCTGTCCAGATCCTCCTGTATCCTAAGCCTGTCTTCTGGAGTGTTGGCTATTCCTGCCAGCTTCGTGTCATTTGCAAATGTGATGAGTTCCCCATCTATCCCTTCATCCAAATTGTTGATGAAGATGTTGAAGAGCACTGGGCCCAGAACAGAGCTCCGGGGCACCCCACTACACGGTTCCATTGAGGACCACACGCTGAGTACGGCTGGTCAGCCAGCTATGGATCCATCTGGTGGTGATGCTGTCTAACCCACATTTTTCTATCTTATCAAGTAGTAGGTTGTGGTCTACTTTGTCAAATGCCTTACTGAAGTCTAAGTAAATTATATTCACAGCATTCCTCCGGTCCACTAATTTTGTCACTTGGTCAAAGAATGCAGTAAGATTTGTCTGGTATGATCTGTTTTTGACAAACCCGTGTTAGCTTTTAGTAATGACTTTGTTTGCCTGTAAGTGTTCACTGATTCATTGTTTGATTATCTTTTCCAGAATCTTCCCAGGTATTGAGGTCAGGCTGATAGGTCTGTAATTTCCTGGGTCCTTCCCCCTCCTTTTTTTTTTGAAGTTGGGAACTGATTCAAATAAGAACTTTACTCCCCTCCTCTCCCATCCCCATCATGCATTAAAACCAGGAAAAGAAAAGAAATAGGTAGCACAAAATGTTTTCATTATCATGCAGTTTTGTCCTAAGTCTCCTATCTGAGTGTGTATATGTAAAATGCTTTAATTTAATTACTGTTTGAAGAAAGGTTTATTCTGTGTTGTTATTGTCTGGCTTTGCCCATTCTTTTCTCACAATGAATCTGGTCTATACATTCTATTCAATTTATATTATATAATCTGTTTCAGAGTGTGTTAGCTCTCAATTCTAGCTGTAAACTATTAACTTAGATGAGCAATAAGATCACACAATCTTATATAAACTACAAACTTCACCATTTAATGAGTATGTTAGCATCTAATATCCCTGAGTTTTAAATTTGGTGTAAAATGTGGGTCAATCCTAATAAAAATAAAAGCCTAATTATTATGGCACATTTTATTGCCATTAAAAGGAATGGAATTTAGATTTTCTATGTGATTTCCAAACTAGCTTTACTAAGTACATTAGTCTAATGTATTTTATGATGACAGTCCTATATGCTTTGTCACAATGAAAACAAGAACCAGCCATCTAGAATAATAGCAGCAATTATTTTATCAATGCCCTAAAATAATCCTACTCTGAAATTTGCAAATCAGCCTCTGAATCACTAGATCTAAATTTTCATATTCCAAAATACAGAATACTCCAGAGGAACATTTCTGGCTCTCAGTAAGATTTAGAAGCTCAGATGACAAGTCTTTTTACAATTTAAACCTTCATACTGCTGAAAAGCCTCCTGGGGCTTACAGCTGAGTCTTACAAGTGTTAGGAAATGCTGCCTATTATTACAAGAGAGTAGTTCAGTCCTTCAAAGAAGAATAGGAAAAATGATGACAGTGTCAGCACTGTTTTAACTCTTCTCAGGTTTGTAGTTTACAGAAGAATTCCAGTGCATGGATAGTAACTAGAAGATCAAATTGTAGAAATTAGAGGGTAACCTGTAGTAAACAATTATCACTGATTGTACAATTACCACTGTAAACAATTACAGAGGCAGATTCTTTTCTGCTAGTCTGCAGGTTGTGTTAAATTCTGCTAAAGATGACAGAAATCTGACACAGAAATTGTGAGAATTTACTAATGGGTTATCATTAATAACTGTTTAGAATATTCTTCTTCAGCTATTATATCCTTTCAGAAATTTCAGCTTTAACTCTGGAGAAGATGGGTTGCAAACAAGAGGATGATGGCACTTCCTGGAAGAAACCGACTGCCAACATCAGAAAAACATTTATTTTCATGGAAGCACTTGGATCGTATGTTTTCCTTTTTATTTTTATTATTCACACTATTTCATTCCTAGGTTTTCCAAAGCTCCAGGCTGTTTTCAAAAGCAGCTGAAAGGTAAAGAGTGAAGCAGCTTTGGACCCCTGCTCAGGCAGTAAATCCAAACCCCTGCTCAGACAGGAAACACTATACCATTTCAGACAAATGGCTGTCCAGTCTCTTCTTAAAAACTTCCAGTGTTGGAGCATTCACCACTTCTGGAGACAGGTTGTTCCACTGATTAATTGTTCTAACTGTCAGGAAATTTCTCCTTAGTTCTAGGTTGCTTCTCTCTTTGGTTAGTTTCCATCCATTGCTTCTTGTCTTGCCTTCAGGTGCTTTGGAGAATATTTATTACTACATAAGCAAGGTATAATTCTGAGGCATCTGATGAAATATATTGTGATGCAAGAATAAATGTATTAACTTTAAAACTTTTGATTATTTTAATAGTTTTCCAGCACATTAGTATCCATGGTTATTAAGTTGCTTACTCTTATGCTTCCTTTAACGATAACAATGGCAACTCTTAAGCATGCGTAGCTGAGAGGTTAATTTTTCTTCCCCAGAACCATTTTATTTCCAAAATTCCTCTCACTCATCAACACAATCATCTTGTATGTTTTCTTTTTAAAAAATGCTCCATTGGCTCTGCAGTTGGTCTCTTGATTGTAATTACATAGCTGAATGGTCAAAAGATTCTCCTTCACACTTTGCATCCACTTTATTCCTCTCTTGATATTGAAGTGACTTCAATATTGTATCATAAATGTCATTTTCCTCCTCCCTGAAGCCAACAAGGGGTCTGAGCATCCTATCAATTAGCTCTTTCCACCAAATGTCACTTGACCATAATGGACTTTTAAAAGCATTCCATTCACTGTATGACTTAACATTTTCCCCAAAGTTTCTTTTTTATAAACACTCCAAATGTCTAAAGAATGACTCAAAATGCTTTTTAAAGTGCTTCAACTGTACTGCAATTCTCCAGTTATTTACAGCTCTAATCAGAACACATTTCTGAAATGTTGGGGATTTCCTTGGAAGAATGCAGCATGGTATATTGATTTGGGTGCTAGAAGAGCACTAGAAAGACTCAGGTCTTAGCCCAGGTGTCTTCAAACTTGGCAACTTTAAGATTTGTGGACTTCAACTCCCAGAATTTAAGTCCACAAGTCTTAAAGTTGCCAAGTTTGAAGACACCTGTCCAGAGACTCCCTGACTGTCTGGATGAGAGTCCTTTTCTCTCAGCCAACTTAGCTCACATGGTTGTTCTTATGGGGGAAAGGGGGAGAAAGGAGAGGTATGTACAACCCCTTCAGCTCCAAGATGTTTGAAATACATCCAAAAATATCTAAAATATAATAAATATCAAGGAACAATTGGGATTGTAATTTGAAAAGATGCCAACTACTTGATATCTCTGATATTTTATATTCATTCTAAAATAGTCAAAACTAAGTCAAAGATTTAGTCCGGTTCATACTTTCAGATGATGCAATCTGAATTTGTTTCCTTCTCTAATATGTGGATCTGAACAGAGAGAAGAAACACTAGGCACCATAGCCCATCTCTAGAGCTGGCTGTTAGAATTGCAAGGTAATATGGAGGAATCACATTGTATCATGTATTCCCAGTGTATCTTTCATTTTTACCATTTCATGGCTCCTTTCCATTCCATTTCTATTTTGACAGTGATAAGAACAGAACTGTTAGCTTCCAGAGAGGTACCAGCTTGGTAGCACCATGGCTGATCCAGCCTTCAGTAGTATAGTTATTTTTTCAGTTTATTAAGTCACTTCCCAGGAGCTAAATTCAGGCCAGATGTGAGTTATTGACAGATTGGCCAGCCTGCATCGGGAGCTGCTACTACAATAAAAACATCCATTTGAGATGCATTTGAGAATTTTCCCCTCAAGAGAACCAAATAGAGAATTCTTATTTCCCGAAGTCTAGATACAAAACACAGTATGAGAGATGCCATCTATTTAAATAGAAAATATATTAACTTTACTTCCAAAACCTTAATTGGAGCCTAATCAAAACAGGCTGTCATTGTGTTTATATTTATTCAAGAACAGACCTTTTTAAATCTGGGAAACAACATTTTTGAATAAAGAGATTTAGCTGAATGTATATAAATCCTGCCCACAATTAGTTGCATGTAAGAGAGATAAAAAATAGTGGCACCTATTCCTCAGCTATAAGACATTTGACTAAATTACGCCTTTATATTTCCAATTAGAGTGAGAAACAACACAACTGTAATTTGGCTACATTTATCACAAACTGGATACACAATCTGAAATACCTAGTTTCTTATTGCATATTAGACTCTGAAGTTACAGAAAAGATTTTGGACTAGCCGTTCATTAATTTATAATTTAAATTTATATGGATATCCCTATGGCTGTGTTCACATCATACACTGGACATTAGCCAACAATATTTTAGCCTGGCTTACTGTGTAGAGAGATTAATGTTTTACTTGCTTGTTTTATTTTTAGTCTATACTTAGTGGAAGACACTGCTACTGTGGCAAACATTGCCTTAATCCAGTTACTAATTCCTTGTATTAGTCCATCAAATCAACACCTTTGCAGCTTGAAAGGGAGAGTATATGTCAGAGTAGGTAGGAAAAAAAAGGAAGTTTAAATAAATACATAAATAAATTGTGCACACAATGCTTTGAGTAAAATAACCTCCAAGTTCGTATATGGTAAAGCCAGAAAAAATCCCACAATTCAAATCTGCTATTACATTTGGCAGACTTTCTTTATTAGTATAAATGAATCTGGAGTCATCAAGGACATTGGAACCATTTGTTCTTTCAAACACTTAAGAAAACAGGCCTGTTCTAATGTCATTCTGCTTCACTCATGCCTCCAAATGCAGATGTTCTTAGTCTGTGATACATTCATGGTTAGTCAGCCTTTTAGATTAGAATGGTTATCCAGAGCCAGTATCCTTGTATTTCATGGAGGAAGAAAAAAAACTACAGAAGGTTTTGTTTCCTTTGCACCAGCTTGTTGATTCAAGTGGTCTTAAATGTGGGCAGTAATTATTATAAACTGTTTAGGAACGAAACATGAAACAGATGCCAGTGCATCTGATCTGTGGGATGATGATTTCCTATTATCTTCACTTGTGAACATAGGGACTACTACACATTTTTATTGACTCCCCAATTCAATAGGAATTTTACAGAGAGAAGTATAATTGTAAAAAGAACTAAAAAGGGACAAAAGAACTAAAAAAAGTAAAAACCAGAGACTTAAAAAAAATGAAAGAGTATTAACATGTTGGCAATATTATGCTAAATATATAATTATTTTTGTTGATTGTGTTGCATTCTATGGCTCACTGAACAAATATTACTAAAATTATTGGGTAAGTTGTTATTGATATATGTTACCTTCAATGCGTGAAATTAGACATTTTATAGAATGCCTAGAAAGCTATAGAATGCCAAAAATGGGGTGTCAAAAAATAAAACACACACATTTCTTAGGTATTCTATGCAATGCCGAAAGGCAAAGCAGCAAAATATAAAATGCCATTCTAGCCTTCCTAGTTGCAACAATTAAGTCAGTACAAGTCTTTTTCTCTTTTTTGTTTGTTTGTTTGTTTTTTCCAGTAAGAAAGTCCTGTACTTTTTTTTGCATTTCTTCTTTCATTTTCATATACGTCTTTGCAATAAAGGGTTAGGGTTAGGGTAACCCTAGCCCTTTTCATGACCTCTTTTCATACTTCACCTAAATAGTTCTTGTCATTCTGCATAATGCCTAGGTATTATATATAATGCCTAGGGAAAGTACATAGCATATTAAAATAACACAGACATTTCTTTAAAATAATACAGACATACTTTAAAATGTCCCACCTTCTATAGATTTCCTAAGCATTCTATACAATGCCAATTTTTCACACATTGCCAGTAACATTCACAAATCCAACTACAAAATACTCCCGTATAATCAATAGAACTTAATTTAGAATTCCATAAACTTTAGTCTTATTTATTCAGTAAGTCAACTCCAAGCATACATACAAGTCTGCCTCTTGTATGTAAATAAGGTTAATAAAGAATGTATGAGAGAAATTCAAAAGTATGCATTTACAATTAAAAAAAAACAGAACCAATGGCCCCATTTTTTTAAAGTCTTTACTTAAACTAGTTTACTTCTAGACATTTATGATTCACGTGGCTATGAACACGAATCAGATGAAATAAAAATGAAAAGAGGTAGAGAGAAGGATAACAAATGGAATAATATCCAAATAAATGTTTTTACAGCTTGTATGCAGTATCTATAAGGACTTTGAATAAGTTCTATAAATGGAACATAGCTTGCTATTAACAAAATAAATATGCCTTGGAGAAATTACTGTTTCCCACTCCCCTAGAGAATATCATGAATACATTTGTAATGTTCTATAATGTTTATTGCCCCAGTTGAAAAAACTTGTGAAAGAATTTGCTTAGGATTGCTAAGCTTTGTTGTCAATCCCCATATACTATCTCTGCAGTTCAACTTCTCAGATGTTGAGAATAAATTTTCAATGACCTGATAAAGCAGACAACTATATTTGAATGAACTCTGTGCACAGTGCAGTCTAAGCAAAGCACTGATTTACAACTTAAAACAGTTACAAATGATCTTTCTATCTCAAATGAAGGACAATTGATCTTCAAGTACCATTTCTTCATTGTTTTAGGTGTAATAAAAGTAAATACAGTAAATCTTATTTTCCACTATTCATTGCTCTTCATACATTTGCTGTCCATTATGTGGGCTAATGATTGTTCCCTCATTCTTCCCCCCCCCCCAACTACATTTTTAGTCTTCCTCTCTGATTTTCAACCTATTTCTGTTTGTTTCTCCTGATATTAACATGCTAATTATATATATTGATCTGGATCTGGTTACCTAGGGTAAAAATCTATTATGGATAGATTAAGTGATCATTTTCTATTCATTATCTTATG